GACATCGACAAATGCATTTCCAGTTTGACTATCATCATCTTGCACAGTTACCAATTGGCAAGTAAAAAGAAAACCAAAACAAAGAGCAAGGCACCATGGTGGGACAATGAATTAGCCACTTGTAGAAGAAAAGTGCAGAAACTACACAAAAGGTATCAGCAACAAACTGATGATCACACAAGAAACACTCACCATTACATAACTAAATTTAATGAGTTTAAAACTATGATAAATCAGAAGAGATATCAAGTGTGGAGGAAGTACTGCAGCTGCTTCAACACCCCTTGGAGCAAACCGTACTACATCACTTTCAAGAAAAGGATTCCCTCTGCCATTATGACAAACGAATGCACTTACACCAACTCCATTGAGAACACGATGAACAAGTTGTTTAATTACCACTTCCCTCTCAACAATCAAGAACATCCAACACGAGATCTGTAATAATTGTAGGAACCCTTCAAATCAGCAAACTGACAGTTTGTTTACCTACAAGAAGGTAACACATGCGATTAAACTAATCAACACAAAGAAGGCACCAGGGATTGACCAGATCACCGGGAGAATGATAAGAGGCCTATGATGCAATTCCGACCTCCTTTGTTACGATATTCAATCGCTGCTTATCTCTGGGTTACTTTCCCAGGGATTAGAAAATTGCATCAGTTAAATTTATTAGTAAACAGCCTAGTGATAAATCACAGTACCCCAAGGACTATAGGCCGATCAGCCTCGTCCCAGTTATGGGAAAGATTTTAGACAGGCTAGGAAGTAACAGGATATTGAGTTATATGAGGAAGAGGAACACCCTAAGCTTTCATCAGCATGGGTTTGCACCAGGGAGATCAACAACAACCACCTTGAATAGCATGATAGAGCACATTAGCAAAGCTAAAAAGGAAGGCAAGCATATACTCCTCCATATTTACCTGCAAAATATGATATATATTTTGCAAGTAAATATGGAGCAGGTAAATATTATGCAAGTAAATACCTGCAAAATATCATATTTTGCAGGTATTTACTGGATGAAAATTGTACAATTTCTAGAGTGATTTGACAGTAACATTTGTTTTTATATTACATATCAGATTATAATATTAATAAATTCTTTCTTGTTGGTTTTTTAAGATTTTTATATCAACTTGTATAACTCTCCAGCTATAACTAAAGACAAAAAATATAACAACAAAAGGTTGCCTGTTTGCTTTCACTAGATAAGCATTAGTTTTAACTTAACATACCTATTTTTAATTGTTTTTGTCATCAACTAGTCTAATTAACATTGATTGTTTTGTAGTTACTCACTGTTTCAGTTTCCATTTAATCGTTTTCTTAAAAAGTATTTATTGTTATGTGTTGTATGAAAGTTTGATCCAGTTCCTTAAAATTTATAATTTGCGATAAAATGTATTAAATATACTTCTATCTAAAACAGATTAAAAGAATAGTTTTAAAATCAGTTTTGCTATAAGAATTACAATTTATAGTGAATTATTGGATTGAACCGAAAGTCGTTCGGGTATTTACATAATTGCTCATCTGTGGCACCTCTGTCGTGCTTATCAAGTTTTAACTTGTTTAGGTTGACATTATGAATAACTGCATATTTATTACATAAATTTAATTACAGCTATTTTTTAAAATTTTGTTATCTTTTAAGAAAAAAAAAAAAACATTAAAATGGAAGATAAGAAGGTGCATTTTTGACATCTGATGCTCTATTATTTCCGAAAAGAAAAAAATGCAACAAAAACTCAAAAAAAGATATATGCTGTATATGGGGAGGATGCAATTACTGATCAAACATGCCAGAAATGATTTTCAAAATTCAGGGAGGGAGCTTTTTCTCTCGAAGATGCACCTCAGTCAGGATGACCTTCAACCATAGAAGATGAGTCCATAACGGCTATAATTCAAAATGATCGGCATATAACAACACAAGAGATAGCCAACATCTTAAAAATATCCCAAACATCTGTTGTCAGACATTTGGCTAGCCTTGGATACACTTCCCGTTAAGATGTTTGGGTTCCCCATAAGTTAAGTGAACGAAAACTTATTGAGCGTGTTTCTGTATGTGATTCACTTTTAAAACACAATGAAGATGATCCCTTTTAAAGTGATTAATAACAGGTGATGAAAAATGGATCGTTTACAACAATATTCAATGCAAGAGATTTTGGAGTAAGCCGGTGATCCTCCGGTGCCACAACCTAAAGCTGGTTTGCATCCCAGAAAAGTCATGATTTCAGTTTGGTGGGACTGGAAAGGGATTCTTTATTATGAGCTTTTACCCAATAGCCAAACAATTAATTCCAATAAATATTGTCTCCAACTGGATGAACTAAAGGCTGCAGTGCATCAAAAATGTCTGTAACTTGCAAATCAATGGGGAATGGTATTCCATCATAATAATGCAAGACCGCACATATCATTAAACGTGCGCCAAAAACTTCTAGACTTTAACTGGGATGTTTTGAATCACCCTGAGTATTCTCCAGATATTGCACCCTCAGACTATCATCTTTTTCATTCATTGCAGAATAATTTAAATGACATAGAATTTCAATCTCTAGAAGATATCAAAAATCACATTGATAATTTCTTCAATCAGAAACCCACCCAATTCTACACAGATGGAATTATGAAACTACCCGTCAGGTGGTGTAAAGTTATCGAACAGAAGGGTGAATACATTGTGGATTAAAGGTTATTTATTTATTTCAAAATAGTATATTTTATTTCTTTCAAAAAACCGAACAAACTTTTGGTTCAACCCAATACATATAGTTTTCTTCTATCAAAACTTCTATCATTAGAAAAACCATTTGATTTTGAAGCTTCTTTCAAAATCTTTCTTAAATTTCTTACAATAATATATAAATATTTTATTATATCTTATAGCATTCATTATAAATTTATCCACTAAAGTAAATTTACATCACTATTGCTGTCATTCAAGTCTCTCAAATTTCACTGCATTGTTAATTATAAAAATAATCTGAATTGGTAATTTGTATTCATTCAAATGCTTAAACATACTCAAAAATTTTATATTGTAAATACCTTCAAACATTTTGTACCTTGAATCTTAAGATTATCACAAAATTAATATCTAAATATAATAATCGTCATCATATTAAAATTTGTTAGTTCAAAGTTTAAAGCAGAATTAAAATCTTATCTGTATTTAAAAACATCTAACATCACTTTTGCAAACAACATGCATAAATTTTGAAAGTATGATATAAGTGTGTCCTTGTTATGAAATTACAGAAATCATTAATATTGTAGAAATGAGAAGAACATTAAAAATAACAACACAGTTAATTAGAAAAAAAATTTAGCAAAAAGTTTGGAGAACAACAAAATTCTTTGAACTTAGCCATAGAAGCACATAATTATTCTTATATATAAATAAAAATGCACGTGTTCTTTCACAATATATTTTCCTTTTTCTCTCAAACATTCTACATCTATTCATTTCTTTTTTCTACAATTTATTTTTAAGTCATAAAACATTAAAAATTCTTTGGCTATGAATACTTAGTTCACTTACAAGTTCAGATAACTTATAAATCACTAAAATATACATACTGAATTTAACACCCTTCAAACTTTTTCTACCATATAAAATATTCTAATAATTTATCTCAGTAACTTATAAGTTCATGTTGTATTGATAATGCAAATTAATTGCTGAAGATAATACTAATTAATGCATTTAGCCACTTCAAATAAATTCACAATTATTCAGATAAAATACTAATATTTTCATTTTGTTCTTATAAGATAAAAACAGATATTAAAGATATAGTTTTAAATCTATATACATTGTATATACATTGAAACATCTATATACATCTCTATATAGAAGAACTGAAAATAAAATATATAAATTTACTATAAGGTTAATACAAGTTTCATTCAACTATAGTCTGTCATTATCTTTAATACCTTTGAAACTTAAGGTTTACAGAAAAATTAAAAATATAAACAAAACAATTCTAAAAGCTTATCTCAACATCTATTAAGAGAAATCAAATAAAGTAATAATGTAAAATATATAAAAGTGTAAATCATTCTAAAAATTAATATTTAACAGTTTTTCTTATTGAGCAAAATTGAATTTAATTATTATTGTTTTCTAGTTTATTTTCATCATTTAACACTATTCAAAAATGTTAGAAAATATATTAAACTATTTTAGAATTCTCTAATAGTATTTACTGATATAATAAAGACAATTTAAATTTAGCCTTTCAAATCAGTTAAATCTAATCTAAACTAACAGAAAACAAAAATCTTTTTTTTTTTTTTTTAAAGCTAAATGGTTTTACATAAAAACACTGAAACATTAATTCTGTGAGCGTGATATATTTGCTCAAATGGAAGTTTACTTCTATGTTTAAACTAGCCATAAAGAAAGCTCTTTAAGCACTTTATAAAATATTGGCTACAGAACACAAGTGATATACAAAAATTATCATCACAAAAGAAAGCATATACATTAAAAAATCAAACCTAATTCCTTAATAAAATATAACTGAATTCTGGTGATTAACATAGCTTCTACATTAACTTCCACTTTTTTGAATTGAATTTAAAAAATACAAAGCATTAAGTGAAAGACAATCAATGTATAACATTATTTGCAATTCATTATAATAACCAAAAAATAGTCAAAGATAACTAATAACTGAATCAAGACTAATGTTATTTAGAGTTTTTATGTATGCATACACAACCACTCTTAAATATATTATTGTAGTGCTATTAACAATTCACTTTCACCAAATTTATATTGTAAAATAATGATATTTTAATAAATTGTTCTTACATAATTTTTAATAAGGCATATTTATTTTCTTATTTTTCTGAAAGATAAAAACTGAGTTAAATACTGAATAAATGTTAGATTTGTTTAGTATTGCATTACGTACATGCTAACTCATCAGAAATGGAAGACATTAATTCATTATTTATTCAGTACTTACCTAAAACCATCCACTTCTCTTTTTTGAGATTTATCCAATTTATCTACAAACGTCAGCTGACCACGATCATCATAGTGAAAGACCATGGGACAACAATCATGACCCTGAAAATCATTAACTATATTATTTTAAATAAAAAAACAATAAGATAAATCTTTTCAATATGTAATCTCATTACTTCAATAAACTAACTGGTAATTTTTTAAGTCAACAGTCAATAATAAAATAATTTAATACAGTAAGACCCCGCTTAACCTGTGGGATGCGTTCCTAGACAACAGAGCTAAAGGAAAGAGTGTTAAACAAAGTCATTTTAACCCAGAGTAAATAGGGAAAGGGGAAGATGCAACCAAAAATAAACAGACTTTAATTTTAATTTACTTTCATATTAATTTGCATAATAATATGTTAAACACAAACATGCACACAGAAATTAAAATTCACTTTTTGTGATGAAGGTCCTGGTTCTTCTGAAATTCTTGTTTTTTGCAATAGTCATGTAGTTTCATTTGTTGCTTTTTTTCTTTCCTTAAGCAAATGTCGGTAGCAGAAGATTGCATCCAAAATGCCTCATTTTGCTTTTGCACTCCTTTCAAAATCTGGATCATTCGCTACAATTTGATCAATGATTTCAGTTATCTTACCAAACTTTTACTAAGGAAATCTATAGAGAAATTCTTTGGATTTTTTGTTTTCAGAATCTCTGTTTTCCAGTTCCACATGAATTCCTTGCTCTGCCAGTTCTTGAAGGTCATTGTTGGTAAGGCTCTCACCAGAAACCTGCTGTAACTCCTCAATATCCTACTCGTCTACATCTCCTAGTCCTGGCTCTATCAATTAGATTGAAAATTTGGTCAACTTAATGATACAGAAATATGCTCTTCTCAGCAATTGGATACCTTCAGCCATAACTTCTTCCACACATCATTCATACATTTATCAGTTAATTCTTGCCAAGCGAAGTCTATATTTCCTATGGCATCCATAATGTTATATTTTTTCCAAAATTGCACAAAACAAGCATAGATTTATGGGAAGTACAGCGCTATGACAAATTGCCACCTTTTGCTGATTGCTTCATGTTTGTAAATAATCGTATTATATACGAATCAATGAAATGCCACAATAATTTGAATCAAAGTAAATTTTGAGCTTTTTTTAAGGCTTCAAGCAGACTGCATTATATCAAATCAGCGTTAATCAAAGTAGCCTTAAGCAGAGTCTTACTGCATATATCTAATTGTTTTATTATTGACTCTTATTGAAAATATAAGGATTATTGATTGAAGCAATAATTCTTGTGTTTTCAGTAGAAGAGAAATAGATTAGAGAAGAATTTAAATTTCAATACTATAGCTATATCTAACTTATCCAACTGTAACTGACATTATCTCTCTTGGTATTAAAATTTGAGTTAGAATATTGCTTTCAGCCAAATTCAAATTTAAAACTAAACTGTGCATATATTTTAATATAAATTTCCAATAAAAATTATGATTTTATACTCACAGCTACAATTATGCTATTTAGAGAAGCCCAGGCACATGTCAGATATGGCAGGAACTGTGTTTTAACAGTTGTCAATCTGAAAAAAATTTATAATTTAACAAAGCATTTTATGTTATATTTTATTATATATTAATATAATTTCACATGCATAAATCTAACAAATTTAATTTCAAATGTAACTGTCTTTTCTTGCTACTGTCCACTTTTTTCCACTCATATATTCTTTTAATCATTACAGTTATAACATTACACTTGGTTTTATGACATTACTAATGATACTTGATATTATGCCATTATGTAATTACATTATTATATTATTACTCAGTTATTAGATTACTTAATTGATGTCACATGATTTTAAAACAGTTAACTGAATTATAAATTAACTATAAATTGATATTAAACTGATCTTTTTGCACATTTCCAGCACTTCCGATATTAACGAGAAGCAAATGTTTTAGACCTCTTTCGAGAGCCAGCATCAGGCTTTATCTCAAACTTTTTATTATATAAAAAAACTCTTTGATAAAAAGCTTGATGCTGACCACTGAAAGAGGCCAAAAATATTTGCTTCTTATTTATATTGGAAATGCTGGAAACATGAAAAAAGGTCATTTTAATATCAATTTTTTAAAAGTTCCAGCTTTAAAGAATAAGTTTTTAACTATAAATTATCATATCAAAAAATTAACTGCTATTAATTGCTAACTTCAGTTAATTGCTTTAGTATGACTGTTAGATTAAAAATAGAATATGAACAAAATCACTGAGAGGAATAAAAATAAAATACAATCACTGCAAATTTGAATTACAAATAAAAATAAATCTTAATAAGAAAACAGCCATAGATATTAGCAAATAAATGCCTGGTGATATATCATATAAACAAAGTGGTTATTTTTACATACAGTACGTATATGCAATTGGCTATTTATACATATGATATGTATACTCAGTTGACTATTTAACCCTTTTAAAGCCATGACATAAAGATGACAGTTTTAATGTTATTTATAATTTAGGATATCCTAAATTTCGATTATCAATATCCTAATTATGATATCGATTATCAAGAAATGAGAATTAAAAATAATGGCATTGAGGAAAATCTTGATAGCAAAATATCAAAATTTTATAATACATCAGTGGAAACATGTTCTTGTTCATTTTGGAATTCTTTTAGTGCACCAAGTCGTCATATTCTTATGATAAGAAAATATAATAATTTGGAGATATTTTCAAAAACTTGCTTTCATGCAAGATATATTATTTCAATTGAAAATGCACTAAGTATGGATACAGATGGTGTAAATGTAGACATCAATGATCATATTGAAGATGAAACTTTTACTGATGATTTTTGATTGCCCCAACAAAATATTATCAGATAGGGAAAAATTTAATACAGCACTGGCGATAACTAAAAATATTGCAGATATTTTGTCTAATTATGGAACGCAAGCCTTCAATAAATATGTGGAGAAATTAAAAGTAATAGAAAGCAATGCAAGAAATGGAATTTCTCTTTTTGAACATGAGAGTAGTGGGCTTAGTATAATTGAACCAGAAGAATCTGAAGAACAAATTCGATCTAATAACGTGCCCTGTTCAAATCAATCAAATAAAAACTTAAAATTCAAAACTAAAATTAAATCCAAAGGACGTCCAAAGAGAAAGACTAAGCAGACCACTTTTTACAAGAAAAANTGTATAAAAATTTATATATTTTTCTTACTTTATTGGTACACCTACCAATCTACTTTAAACTTCAATATGTAGGCTATATTTCAGTAATTTAATGATGCTTCATAGTTTATTAATTACTTTATTGAACAACATTGTAACTGAACTTTAATAATAAAACTATAATTATTTATAATTGTGTAGTTATTATCAAAATATTAATTGTAATAACAGTGCATACAGTCAGTATCCGGCCGGAATATTGGAACATAGTCAGTATGTATAAACAGCTAATTGAGTATACATACTGTATGTATAAATAGCCATGTCTTATAATAAAAGGATGAATTTTATCAAAACTATATTGTACTATATTGATCTTTTCATTATAAGATCAGTGTGGTATATATAGTAAGTTATAATTTTTTTTTTTTAAATTATAAAATGTGGAACATTAACATGTTGACTGTCAAATATAAAAAAAATTAATTTGAAGACGTAGTCTGTCCAAAATTGGTAACCACCATTTATTCACTTCTTGTGTTCCAGAGTACAAACAATTGACGACCTGACTTTTCTTTGTAGGCTGCTAGGCCATCAAATTTAAAAACATTCCTTTAAAAACACAGAAAAATATCCAATTAAAATTACAAAGTTAAAATTGGAATTGGCAGATCTTACAGACGTCTTCTGGAACACAAGATATGAATATATTTTAATGTAAATTTCCAATAAAAATTATGATTTTATACTCAACTACAATTATGCTATTTAGAGAAGACTAGGCTTCTCTAAGAAATTTTTAGAAAATTTTTGAATTGAAATAATGTGTCTTTTGGTTTGCATTGGAAGTTCATATATAGTTAATCAGGGTCTCCTGCCCAAGCTTTCCATATCAGGTCTCAACTTTCATCTAACTAACTCCATTCTCAAGACTAAGGAAAGACAAATAGATGGACATACAGACAGACAACAGTGGGAATTTATAGGTCTACAACTTTTTCAAAATGCACCCCATTTAGATAGTTGGTATCTAAACCAACACTAAAAAGTAGCCAAGACACCAGAGAATAGATAAAATCATAAAACAATAAAAAAATAATTTAAAGTGTCATAACTCATGAAAACAACATGCTTATTACTGATATTTTGTTGAAAATTTTTTCCATACAAAACTGGCTTCTTTGTGTACTGGACAATACTAGCAAATATAAGGCAAGATTTTTTCTTTGGGTAGTATACCTCTAAATAAAATAAAATTCATCTTAAGTACAAATTATCTTTGCAGCATTTAATATATTATCTCTAATCAAACATCCAATACATTTTTTTCTCTAAATTTCTGACTTTTTATGGTTAAACCAGTTATTTGACATAAAATAATGTATACATTGTGTATAAATATTTCTATTTTCAGAATATGTAATGCAATATTTTTCCAACCATCTAATAGCTTTTCTTAGTGCCAAATGCATCTGATTCATCTATACTAAATATTCCATTATTATAATCTCTGATTATATTTGCTTTTATCTGAACTGATTGGTCTATTCAAAGAATTTTCTATTTCATACACAGATTATAAGATAATTCACTTAAAGTTTTTGTTGGAAAAAAAAGCTTAAGAACTTTACTAGAGAACAGATTCACAAATTGAGAATTACATACATGCTTAACTGAGAAAAGCATTGGGGAACATTTAAGTGAACCCAAAAACATGTAAAATCAATGTGATAAAAAATTGCATAAACTTGAATATTTACTTTCTAATAAGAGACTTAAAATAAAAAATGTTTTATTTCAAATTTTGTATCCAATAAAATATACACAATAAAATACACAAGCAAGGTATATTTTACTTATTTCACTCTAAAAATTTTATTATACTTTTAAAATTAATATTTAAAATATGTATAATATACATACGCCATTCCTTTATTAGCATCAACAACGGAAATACTGCTATCATGACCAACCCATGCAAGTTTATTACCATCAGAGGAAAAACTGACACTATGTACCCATCCAGCTGCAATAAATTAAAAGTAATTAATTAAATACATTGAAAATGATAACTTCAAAATTTAAATTATTTCAGAAATGATTTAAAATAAAGATTTAAAAAACTGCATTACTATAATAGTGTTAACAAAGTGAAATAATGAAAATTTCAATATAATTTTAAACTTGTCATTTAGCTTATGACTTAATTAAAATATCAAAAAATAATGATAAAAATTATAGCAAAATGTCAAAAAGTTGGAAAAACATTTGAAAATAAAATTTTTTATTTTCAAATGCCAATACAAATTTAAAATAATTCCAGTTTCTATAAAGTATTTAAGTTAAAGTTTTAATATAGTTTATAATTAATATTTTTAAAAATGAATTGCGACTATTGATGTTAAAAAAAAAACATTTAAATAATTTTCTTGAATTAAATGAATATATTATGTAAATCTGATTTTAGAATGCTAGTACAGAGATTATTATGAATATCATCTCTTAATTTAACCATAACAGAAAAATATATTAGTTATAATTGATTGTTCCAAAAACTCTTCTTAAGTTTATCTTTAATATATTTTTATATAATACAGCTTGATCCTCATGCCAAATGTTAAATAGCAAGAAAGAAAACTCACTGAGTACAGCATTAATAATGCTGTACTCAGTGATTTTTCCTTCCTGCTAATATATTTTGAATATTGATTTTATATCTTTATACATTATGTTAGACTTTTTGAATGAGTCCCTTCATTTCACTTTAATATAGGTTTCTCTATACTTGTATTTATTTATTTATAAAAATAAAACAAACTACATGTAATTAAAAATGTTATTTTTAAATTTTAAATAAATTTATAATTAAGTATTTAATGTAAAAAATATTTGAAATTTAATTTTGATTACATAATTTAATTAACTTTTTTAATAATCTTGTTATTATTTTAATACTTTTTACAAGACTCATTGAATTTGTATATGCATATAATTATTGTGTTTGTGTTGCAATTCAACATTTAAGTTACAATAAAAATTTAAAAAACAATTCATTCAGATAATTTCATATATTCTCATCCAAACTTCAGAGTAGAAAAATACAGTGGAACCTCAGTTAATGAACGCCTTAGTTAACAACCAAATCAGCTAACAAACTTTTATTTTGCAAAAGTTTTGTCTTGGATAACAGACAAAATTTGGATAGCAAACCTAACAGTTTTTTGTGTCAAATTTCAGTTGCTGTTAGGTATGCACAAGGTAAGCATTGCTTTCCTGAGTGTTTGTGCTAAACTTCTTTTCAGTTTTGTGATTTATATATTTAATCAATATGGCACCCAAGAAAGAGAAAAGTGATAGTGGCAATAGAAAATGTTTTAGTGTAGCATTAAAGAAAAAAATTATTGCAAAACACAAGAATGGCATTCATGTTTCTGACATTGCTAAAGAATATTATTATATAATGTGGCAAAATTGACTATCTCTGCAATTATTAAAAACAAAGAAGCATTTTAGGCTGCCAAAATGGCCGCCTTAAATGTGATATCAAAACAAAGATCTAANAAATCCCTGACTTTCCCTGATTTTCCCTGACTTTCCAGGTGCGTAGGAACCCTGAATATAATGTGGCAAAATTGACTATCTCTGCAATTATTAAAAACAAAGAAGCATTTTAGGCTGCCAAAATGGCCGCCTTAAATGTGATATCAAAACAAAGATCTAAAGTTTTAGATGAAGTTGAAAAACTGCTGCTAATATGGACCAATGAAAAGCAACTTGCTGGACACAGTGTTAGCAAAGCTATAATTTGTGAAAATTATACAATGTTTACACAATGACTTGTTGACCCAGACACTCAATACAAATGCAGACAGGGAGGACTTTAAAGCAAGCCAAGGGTGGTTTGATAGGTTTCGTCGACAAAGTGGCATTCACGGTGTCATAAGGCATGGGGAGGTTTCAAGTTCAGATGAAAAAGCAGCAAAAGCATTTGTGAATAAATTCACAGAGTTTGTAAAATTCAGAGTTTGTCACATTCAGAATCAAGTGTTTAATTGTGATGAGACTGGTCCTTTTTTGGAAAAAATGCCTAGACAAACATACATAACCTAAGAAGAAAAAGCACTACCCAGATACAAGCCCATGAAGAATAGACTCACACCTTTATTTTGCACTAATACAAGTGGTGACCTCAAAATCAAGCCACTTTTAGTCTACAATGCTGAAAAATCTCCATGCCTTTAAGAGCAATAATGTGATAAAGTCCAAACTGTCTGTACATTCAAAGGCAAATAGCAAGGCTTGGGTAACTCAAACCTTATTCATGGCTTGGCTCACGGAAGTGTTTGCTCCAACTGTCAAAAATTATCTTCAGCAAATGGATCTTCCTCTTAGATGTAGTCTCTTAATGGATAATGCCCCAGCACATCCACCAAATTTGGAAGAAGGTGAGCATGACTTCATCAAGGTCAAATTCCTTCCACCCAACACAACTCCGTTACTGCAACCAATGGATCAACAAGTGATTTCCAATTTTAAAAAGCTATACACTAAGGCACTGTTCACCAGGTGTTTCCAGGTTTCCACTTAACCCTTAGAACTTTTTGGATGGTGAATTTTAACATCCTGCATTGTATCAACTTTATTGATAAAGCCTGGAGTGAGGTCTCTCACTGCACTTTGCAATTGACCTGGAGGAAACTTTGGCCAACCAACTTGTGTCCCAGAGCAAAACTTTAGGGAATTTGAAGCAGAGCTCTCCTGATGTAGTGCACAAAATCATGTCCAATAGCAAGAATTTGGGATTAGAGGTAGATGATGCAGATGTGGAGGAGTTGATGAAGGACTATCAAAATGAAATAACTACAGAAGAGCTGGTTGCCTTGCAGGAAGAACAGGTGAGTCTTACAAGAAGAGCATTCATCAGAGGAAGAGAAGGTTAGGGAAGAAATCACCAGTGCTGAGATCAAGGAAATTTGCAGAATATGGAATGATGTGCAGGAATTTATCGAGAAGCACCACCCTAACAAAGTTGTGGCTAATAGGGTCATTAGTTTAATGAATGACAATGCAATCTTGCATTTCAGAAAAATTTTGATTAAAAGAGTAACACAATCAACTTTAGACCACTTTATTCTTCCTTATCAAAAGAGACCTCAACTCAAAGAATCTCCCGATGCAGTGCTACCCAATATTTTTATGCAGGGGGATTTCCCTTCCAAGCATTAAGCTCTGTACAAATGAAGACATGTACAGTGCTATTTTATTAAATAAAGTTTACATATTTGTTGTTGTAATGACAGATACTACATTTTCCTATATTTTCATCAAAGAAAACCCAGTTTACAAATAAAATTACAGAAATACCGGCAGCTAGAATGGATAAATTTTATTTGCATAAATTGTGGAAAAAATTTCTTTGGTTAACAAACAGAGTTGCAAAACAGATTAAGTTCATTAACCAAGGTTCCACTGTAGTCAAGAAAGCAAACAGATGTTTGTAGATATAGTAAGACACTGCATATATGCCCTAGATCCTCTAAGATTATCACTTAAAAACCACAAAAAAAATTCTGAGAAATCTTAAGTGATGTTGGCTTTATCTGCTGGGAAAATATGGTTGGTGTAAGAAAAAAGCTTGTTATGGACTTAGGAACATTGATCTCATGTCTTGTGTACAAAGCAACTGCACTATCAGACACAGAGTCCTTAAATTTAAAGTTCCCAGAAAATCCTATAAAAAGCTTTCAGAATTCCCCAGACTTCAAATACATATTATACAATAAAAAATAATTTATGACAAATTAATTACATAATAAATATTGTGATTAACTGTTTCATAAAAGAAAAAAATTTAATAAAATTAAGCTTAGCGAGTTTGTATATTAAGGCTAAATATATAATTTCTAAAAATTCAGTGATTTTATCAATTACTATCTTAATACACAAACAACTAAAATTGCTTAAAATTTTGAAAACTTAAGTATATCAATGTCTAAAATTAGAAACATTTTATTTTGATTTCATTTGATAAATAAAATAAAATAAATCATAGATTTTTTACAACTAAGATTAAATGAATATTGATTTTACTTCAACAAGCTGTTTGATTTTTATTTATTATTATTAAAATGTGTTATCTAAATATTTTCAATCTTATCAAAGCTTTGTCATCACTTCTAATAAATATTAATTAAAGAATAAAATAAAAAGAGAATCTAAAAACATAATTGTATGTTTTTACATTAATTTTAGCTTTAATTTTATATAAATCATTACCCCCACCATTGGAGAATTCTGCCATTAAGTTTCCTAGTGGCATCTTGGTTCCCCATGGTGTTGCCTCTGGCTTGCTATCTACTTCTTTAATATAGGCAGAAAATATCCTATAAAATTAAATAATTAGTTTTATTATACTATTTAAATTTGTCATTAAGATTTACAAAACACATAATATAAATAACTTATAAAGTCAAAAAACGCAACAAGAAATTTTAAATGCTTTAGATACAGTGCATTTTTGCTAATCTGAACTAAGCTGCTAACTCCAAACTATTTTTTTTTTTAATCTATTTGTATCAAGTTAAATTTTAAACAAAATTGAACTGTGTTTAATTACAATAAATTAATACAAATCAAATAAGTGTGTATTAAATAGAATAATAGAAATTTCTTGAAAAATATTAAATTTGTTTTGTTTAGTTTTTATTTAATTTTTTTCTTTTGAATAAAATAATGAGAAAACTAACACTACTTTTTAACCATTAAGGAATTAATATCAATTCAGAAACAACTTTTATTGTGTATGGCTTTTCAAACACTGGAAAACTTGTCACCAAGAGAAACTTCTAAAATTTGAAAAATATATTTCAAATTTGCTTAATTAATTAATTAAAGTTTCTTATTACAATGAAAATTTGTAATTACAAGCTGCATAAATAAGCTATGTGGGTCATCACTAACATAAATCAAGTATTCTGTATAAATCTAGAAATGAAAGTCAGTAAATGAATGACAAATTAAACCAAAGTACAGTGAGTGATCGGTTAACAAACAGTTCAGACTGCAAACAAATCGGACAACGAACACTTTTGTGAAAGATTTTTATGTTGTCTGAACATGATCAGATAACGAACACCCACAGAACAAACACAAGAAGCAACATTGCATTTAAGACTTTTAAGACTATTTTACTGGCATCTACAAATGGTTTATGAAATGAGATTTTCACAGTTGTATACATAACCTTTTTTGCACTAGTTGATTTCTGTTCTCTGAATTTTTGTAAGTGCTTTTCTAAACTTTTTATTTAAAAAATCTTGTATTATGGGACCTAAAAAGAGCAGAGTGTCAAGAACTGCATTCACTATAAAACTAAGCAAGAGATAATAGTCAAGGTAGAGTGGGCAGAAGATATCTGATGTTGCTAGGCAGTATTGCTTCAACAGCTCTACAGAAGGCACAATCTTAGCTAAGAAGATATAATCAAAAAGACAAAAGCAGATAAAGGAGTAGAGAAAATCACATCTGAAAAACAAAGATGTGCCATCCATGTAAAAATGGAGAGATTGATTTTGGTTTAATATTACATATAAATAAACATAGTAAGAAATTATATAATTTCTTACTATTTATTTTTTGGGGTATCCAGAACAAATTAAATCAAATTCCAATAAAAATCTATGGTAATTAGTTAACAAACAATTCGGGTGGCAAACATAATCTTTGAACAGATTATGTTTGTTAACCAATCACCCACTATAGATTTAAAAAGTATGAAATATTTCAATTTATATGTATTTATGTAACCTATCATCTTTATAAATCTATGTTCATCAACAATTTCATTTGTAAAGTCTTCCACTGAATTTTCTACCTAGATTCAATTAAATCCAATTTTCGTACTTTTATTCATAACCAAACAATCGCCTTAAATAACTGGGGTATATCTCTGCTAATTTAATAATTAATACTAAATAATTTGCTACTAGAGATAGACATTACTGGCAAGTGCATCGCACAGCAAGTGGAGGTTGCAGGCTCAAGCCCACCCTGGGTCAGTTCTTTTCTTCTAGATGGTTCTACATTATTTAATAAATTATTAAAAATTATAATTATTAATTAAGATAAGAGATGGCTCCTAACGTCTACCTCTAGTAGCAAATTACTCAGTATTAATCATTAAATTAGTGGAGTTATAGCCCAATTATTTTAGGCAATTGTTTGGTTATGTTTCTATATGCATAGCAAGCTTTGCAATGTTTTATATACTTACTTTTATTCATTATTCTATTTCCATATTTACAAATTAATAAATCTCTGAAACAACATATGTGATGCATAAATAAAACAAGAGCAAATAATACATTTTAGTTACTGTAATATGACTTTTGAAATAGTGAAATAATAATAAATAGCAGAATATAAAATTTTACCATAAAACATTTATTTACACTTGTTATTAACTCTTTAAATACAAAGTTGGCCTAAATCAGCTTAATCCACTCAAGATGAAATTGGAAGGAAAAGTTGTTTTACTGGTTTTGTTTTGTCTACTCTTCCCACTAGGTTGTGTTCATTTTCATTTACGGGTGACATTCAATATTAGTTGGTCATGTTTATAAAATCTTTGTTTTGTATATTTATTTTTAATATAGATTAATTATTATTTTGTTAAATGAAATGTTATTTACACTGTTTTTTGACTTTTTTATTATTTATCATTATTTTTTTTTATATTATAGATATTAAACTGATTTATTATTATTATTATTAACCTTTATAATGTAAACTACTTTTTATATCCTTAATTATGTTTTATTTTGTGTTAACATACAAAATATTAAAATATATGTGATTTTTAAATGATTTATGAAATGTTTTATTGAAACAATATTGTTTTTTATGACAGGAATTTTTAATTTTTAAAAATATCATCATCTTATAGAAATTTATTATTAAGTAATCAAAAAAGTAAATTTTTAATAATAAAAATTATTTTTTAACTGTGTTGTAATTACCTGTATAAACTTTAGCTATTTTTAAGTTTGTTTGTATTTTAAAAAAATTATATTTATAGATATAATAAACTTTTATGTAATTGTATGTAAAACACAACATAAATATTTATTCTAAAAGATCAATACAAAAAACAATAGTATATAATTTAAATTGTTGTAGTCATATTTTCCTCATGATATGTTCCCAAAACAGCTTGCACACAAGCAAACATTACAAAATGAGCATTCAAACATACTTTCTACATATCTGTTTGGTGCTGTTTTTCTATTATGATATCGGCACTACATGCAAGTTTTTTTTCTTCCAACTATTTTTGTCTTTTATGCAGACTTGCATCTGTCACATTAATTGGAAAGTGAAATATCACTTGTTCTACCTTGTTTTTTCTACTAGTAAAATTTTTTGAAAATTTGTCTATAAGATTCAATCTAAATTAATAGGCGTTAAAAACTGTTTATTCGGTGGATTATTAGTTAACTTATTTAAAATGTAACTGTTTTATATGGCAGTATTGAGATAAAACCAAAATAAGTAAACCTGCCATTTGACAGATTTTCTTGATATTGAACATTTTTGATTTTGATCTGCTAAGTCCACACCACCCATATTTTTATTATAATTCAAAATTATTATTGGACATTGTACCATGTTCACTGTTGCTCCTCTTAATCTTTTGGTGTTCACTACCATCATTTTTTGTTAGTTGATGCTATGTTAATTTGTTTTTTGTCAGGCAAAGTCAAACATAGTAAATTTCTTTTTTCAACACACAGTTGAACAATGATATAGTTTTTGCTTGTTTTCAAAGTTTTTAGATTAGACAGTAAATACTTTTTTTTAGTATTGTGCCACACACATAATTTTTTTTTTAGCAAATCAAGTAACAGTGATATGCTGGTAAAAAAAAATTGGCCAAAATAAAAGTGATGGTATTGCTTATGCAAAACTTTTGTCAAATTCATGTCATCATCATATGCGAGATCCTTTTCACTTCTAGGGATTTTATCATTTTTTTCCCCCCATAATATACATCGAAATTGTACACGTAACCATTATTTGAATCGCATAGCATCCACATTTTTAGACCAGCTTTAGCTGTTTTAGAAGGGTATATTGAACAATTTCAACACAACCTTTATATTTTAATAATGCCTCATCAATTGATAAATCACAGAAACAAGTCAGATATACTTGGCAGTTTTTTAACATCAACATGAATGGTTCTACTTTCTGCAGTAAATAATAATTAGGATCATTCTGACCTAAATACCTCCTCTCTATTCAATAAATGTAAATACTTTATTATCCGATAGAAATGACCATGTGTAATTATTCTTTTTTGTCATACTCTTTCCAAGTCCAGGATGACTTGACCAATACATATACATAGCAGATAATTTATTTATCCCCATTAGAAATATAATGGAAATGAATGACCATATTTCAGCTATACTTGCTATAGATATCCACAATTTATCAGAGTATCCTGTAGTTTGGGAAATGTATTCTGCAAATTTTTTAGTATTTTCCTTTATAATTTCTAAGATTTCATCAATGATGAATAACTTGAAATACAACAAACATGGTGATCCTGGAGAAAATCACGATTTGGACTAGAATTAGCTTGAAATTTATGTCTAACAAACTTGGAATTATCTACCTTTGTTGTCCAAGACAGTTTGGTGACATAGACCAATGATTAATATGATTTCAATTGCAAATTTGGATCATCTCCATCAGATGTACTTGATTCCATTATATCTTCATCCCCATTCTTAAATAATAAATCACTGTCAATATCATTAACATCACCAATTTCCTCATCACTAGCACTCTCATATATAATTTTCTCAATAACTTCATCATTTTCATATATTCGACAATTCATGTTGGAATTAATATGAAATATATAATCTCATAACAATAAAACATAAAAGCACAGAGAATCACCACATAACAGAATATCCAGCCCACTAAGAAACAAAGACTTACAGCTAAACATAATATCTGATAATCTCTAAAGGCAATAAAATCAAAAACAAATTTCTGACAGAGTAAATAAACTGATATAGTTTGCTATTTTTAAAAGACAAATTACTAAGAAATAATTTATTTCAAATATAAAGCAAAGAATAAGCATTTCTCATTATATACAAAAGCTACTATAATTAAAATGATGATAATTTAAAAAAACTTGACAAAAATAGCAACAAAGTATCCCAAATCATCACTAATGACATACTCTTCCAAAATGTATTTGAACTGTTCCACAACTAGGGAGAAACTGAACCATATGTCACCACTAAAGTATATACTGAGGGTAAAAACTAATCAGTCTACAAATACATAGTAAATATAAAAATTTTAGTGCTTAAAGAGTTAAGACAAAGAAAAATTTCTTTATATTACAAATTAAAAAATACTTTATCATATAGTAAATTTTTATTATTGTTATTGAAGTGATAAACATTATAATCATAATCAGATATTATGAATCTTATATATATATTATTAATAATAATATTTACCTTGTTTTGAAATCTGTTGATCCACTAGCAAGAAGAACATTATTTGGATGCCAGTCAATACTACAAAATATAAGAGGTTTGTCAGGAAAAAATTTCAAATGTAATTCTAATTATAAATCATAACTTAAAAAACTGAACAAAGAACTTAAAAGACAAAATACACAATATAAAATTTAATAAATTTATTATGCCATATAAAATTAAATTTGATTTAAAAAAGTAAAATTTAATCTTAAATTTTCATTTTTTTCTTATGAATTTATTGTATTTATATTGAGTTCTTTTTGCAACATTAAAATTAAAGCCATATTAAAAGTTGGTTATTTTAGGCCAACTCAAATTAACAGCATTATTTTGGCAGAGTTTCCAAAGCCAGATTTCATTGTTTGAAATAATCACTAAGAATATGATTCTTGGATAATGTGGCACTTTAATGTGGATTGCTTATATATAATAATGCATTAAAATTATCACAAAGTGCCAAAGGAAGACAAATCTGGAGAGGAGTAGATATCTAGGTTTTATGATAGTCTACATTTTCCACAGGGTCTTAAGAATAACTCTGAAAAATTTGGTAAAGATCAGTCAAACAGTTTAGAAGTGTGTAGAGAACAGATAGACAAAAATGAGTAATTAAATATTATCTGTATAATTACACAATAATTATAAGTAATTTATATGAGAGTAAACAAAAAAAATAAATAAAAGTAAATTGTTTTTATTAAGTCAAAAATAAGTCTTTTTAGGTCAAAAGTGTGAAAAGTTTTTAATTATTTTTCAATATAGTTACTTTGTTCTTTAAATTTTTCTTACATTGATTCACAGGCTTCCTAATACCATCTAAAAAAAAATGTATTTTTGGTTTGTATCACAAGCCACTTCTTTGTATTAGATTGGATATTTTTAGAATTTAGCAATCTACTAACAATAATGGAAAAAGTAGTTCATCTGTTTCCTTGAATGGTGTATTGACTTTATTAATAACGTTTATTATTGTTGAATTTCTTGAATGATCAATAACTGCACTTATTTTATCACTCACAAACTTTCCCAATGATTTGTAAATTTCTCACACAGCAAGTTGCTCATTAGCAGTGTAACTAGGAAATGTCAAAGACCAAATATATAAACATGTTTAAACTTGTCTAATACAGTGGTACCTCAGGTTACGAACGCCCCAGCATACGAAATTTTCAGGATACGACATGAAATTCGAACATATTTTTGCTCCACGATACAAACAAAAACTCACCATACGACGTTACATTAGTTCGCATTTTTCATTTGTTTTTCTTACTACAGTTATTTTTTTTAATGTATTACTTGGCTTTAATTTGAGTATGTTTTTCGCGTTGGAACGAATTATTTGGTTTTACATGTAATCGTATGGGAAAAGATGATCCACCTTACGACATTTTCATGATACAATCTCAGTTTCGGAACGGATTAATTTCGTATCCTGAGGTACCACTGTAATCCAGTAGACACAATGCCTTGAGATCATTTTCTGACAATATATTAGTTTTACAAATGAATTTCCTTTATTTTTTTTATTTATCTGTATGTGTTTTTAGCAAATGGTTGGAGTATTCTGATTACAGAAGCAACAAAGTACTTAACTTATGGAAACTGCAGACTCAAATTATGTTCAGAAAAAAAATAAGAATATTTACACAAAACATCTCTGTCCACCTTAATAGACAAAGCCATCTGATTATTAATTTCTATATGTGTAAAAAATTTAATAGATATTTTATTATTTGAAATTATAACTGATGTTATCATTTGTAATGTATATTTGTAATAAAAATTGTAAAATAAAAAATTACTTTATGTCTTACTGTTTTTATTATCCTTTTATCCAATATCAAGAATATTCATAAATTAATGATTCAGCAAAAGTATCATTACTATTAAAAACTCTTTCAATATTATAATTTAAGTATAAATTCGTTTAAGAAGCAATATAATTTTGATGAAGTTTATTCTAAACTTAAATATTTTCATGTGTTAAAAAACTTCTAGAATATTTTGTAATGCTTTCCACCCTGTGGGCACTAAGAGAGCCTCTTTTAGCAAGCCCATTATCGGTTCGGACAGACCCACAATGGGACAGCCAGGTGGTGACGGAGGCCTGACACATGTGGACGGACCAACCCCATAAAATTCCTGGGAATTTTTTGACCCATCTGGATTCAATCTCGAGTCTCCCAGAGCAGTAGGCTGCCATCTTGACCACTCAGCCAACTGGCCATCATTATATTCTACAAGTTAGTTACTGACTGCATATGATATCTTTAGATATCAAAATTATTATTGTATCAACAATATTATATGAATATTATAAGAAATATCATCACAATCAAATCTCCACACATTATATAACTCAATCCTTAAGCTTATTTGTAATAAGAAAAATAAAAATTTTGAAATTAAAAAATTAACTAACTTTTAATTATTCATTAACTGAAATTGATAGAAGATTCATTTTCATAAACATATCACAAATCTATTTAATCTCAAAATAACCAAATCTGATATTGTGACATTTCAGGGCATGCAGAAGACATTTCCATAAATAATTTGCACCAAAACTCATCATTATGAACTTTTGGCACAAGCAACAAATGTTTTATTTGTTAGACACACACTATACAGAGACTCCAGTGATTGAAGGGATACAGTATGTTCAATTCACATTGAACAGTATGTTCAATGTGGGCCCATTCTGAAGGTGTAAAGCCTGAAGTTGATGAACAGTGTGATCAACAACTGACATAACTGATCCTTTTTTATGCTTCTCATATGCTGTCAAGCATATGAGAACATAAAAAAGGATCAGTTATGGTAATTTGAATGACAGTGTGGTACCATCTTTCAAGACTACCAAATTTGCAGTGTGTCCTTGATAAACTACATTTCTTATGTGCCATACAAATGCTTTTTCATTGTTTACAGTATCAAAAGTACCTTAGTAGTGAATTTTGATACTAAATTTTTTATAGAAATGTCTTCCACTTAACCAGGAATGTCACCTTCCAAATTTGATTGTATTTGGCTTGCTAAATCTCTCTCTAGATAGTACTGGATAGGGATATTTTAATTGTGATCGCTCAGTAAAAAACATCTGATAACTATTTTATTAAAAACACAAATACCAATTTAACATATTATTAAAGAACACATTTCTCTCAAAGAAAATTAACTAAATAGAAATATTTTCCTCCTGCATATTGTTTGTTTGATACTTTTTTCACAAATATTAACAACTTTTTTAAAATTTATAAAATTTAAATTGATTTTAATGTAAGAGTACATTTTCTTCTTCAAATATTGATTAAATTTTATCATACCTGGTTACTGTTGATCGAATTGGCTTTTTAATATGCTTGCTGAGCCACCAATCATTTTCTTCTTCAAAATAACATATAGAAATAAGACGAGCACCACTACCAACTGCAAATTTGTTTTCTATATTAAATATACAAAAAATTAAACATTAATGACCATGAGAAATAATAACAATATATCTGATACTTTAAAAAAACTTATTTAAAAATGTTATCAAAATATCAGACAATAGCCACTTGAAAAAACTGTTTATTTCAACTTTTAGTATCTGAAAATTTTGTTAAAGCTTAATCATAAATGTTAACAATACTCATTACTAAGGACAATCAAAAGCATTATAAGCATTAAAAGCATTTTTGGTTAATAACCAGTGAAAGATCTCATGAAACATATTTGCTGATATAGAAATACCTTTAGAACACATTTCAGTAGTTGGAACAAGCATAAAAAAATTTGGGTAATATAAAAGCATTAAAAAGCAATAAAACATTTAAGGCATTCAACAGCATATTTATAAGTCAAATGGCATTCTTAAGCACTTCTATACTGAACCCAGTGTGAAACTCAAACAAATGTGGTGCAATAAACAACAGGAAAAATCATTTATAAAAAATGAATAATTATACTATATATTTTACATACATTCAACATTTTACAAGATAAAAAAGAGAATTTAATAATTGGTTGATGACAAACTGTAAGCAGGTGGAGTCACTGACAGATTTAGTTTTTGTGATTCATAGTACTTATGACTGGTTAGATTGAAAAATCAGATAAAAATAATGTTGAACATAAGTATTTCTGCAAAAATGCAGTTGCATGAATTTCCAAATGAAGGCCTTACTAGAGTCAGGATGTTTATACTGCAGTTATTGTCTTCAAATGATATCTCATGAGAAAAAATCTACTGTTTGACAACATGTCTCTTTGGCAAAGCGTATGAAAAAAAGACAGCATGACTAAAAATACTTTTCTAAATAAAAAAAAAAAATAAGCAGTTAAAATTATTACTAATTCTACTGCTTTACTATACTTTTCAATTAAGGTTTGATTTAAAAAAAGTACCATTTTCCAAGTATTTAGACAATTTGTTTATTCTTGCTTGAAGAAAAGCATTATAAATCATAATTTGGATGTTACAAAAGCATTTTTTTAATATACTAAAAGCATTTTGTGAACATCCTTACTCATTACTTTAAATAAAAATATTTAATTTTATTAATTTTATATTTGATTAATTTTTAACAGTGTATTACATGACAATGTAATATACTATGTTAATGACTGTTTCTATCAATACAAATAAGTTTTTGATGAGATTGGTGAGGAACGAGAAAAAGCACAATCCCATATACAGTCGACCCCCCTATAATTACGGTCCCTATAATTACGATTCCTATAAAACTACGAAAAAATATACGTATTTTGGAAATGTTGAGTCGGATTAGTGTAGAATCGATTAATTTTATGGAAGAAAACCTTTCAATCAGCCGTAGTCCGTAAACTTGACACGTGTCGGGCTGTGATTGGAACGACTTGTAAGAAATCGGATTCCTAATAAATTGGAACGTATCTATATCTTATAGGGGGGTCGACTGTAAACTGATTAAAAAAGTCCAATTTTGAAAATAATTTTTTAAAAATTATTTCAAATATGAATCAATTATCTTGTAAAATTACAACATTAAATGGTTAATGATAAGAAAAGTGTAATATTTTGCTTATGTGAGATTCTAGAGTTAATTGTACAATTAAGTATAACGTGGGAAAAAGACATTTTTCTCTACCTGGTATTTCCATCTCCCTCAGGCCAGATAAACAAGAGATGATCAGATATCCTAGCAAAATCAACAATTTCTTCCTTTGTTTTGGGAAAGTTTCTCAAATAAATCTCAACACCTAATTGTTGATGCATGAGAACCTCAACATTTAGACATGTCCACAGTAATAAGAGTCGCATAACTGAGCGAGAACATCAACAATCTGCCCAAGTTGTCAATTTCTTATGGCTCTAGCTGGCCCAATGATGATACATCAAGAAAATATTATCATAGCAACGTAAGTCACCCGATTAATTTTCCACAGTCAGTACAGATAAAAAGGGTGCACACCTGATCTTAGGGGTAATCGTCAACAAAGAAGCCATCTCCTCACCTCATCTACCCACCAATCATAATCCTACAGCCCTGCATAGTCGTAGCCATCTCAATCTACCAGAATCACTAAGAGAGATATAGTGTTTAACTGATCTATGTAAGCTCACTCTCTTGGTCGACTTAGATATAAGCTAGAGTTAATACAGTAGAACCTCGATTATCCGGACTAATTGGGGATGAAGGTAGTCCAGATAAGGAAAAATCCGGATAATCGAAACAAATACTTTTATTTGTCTTTTAATGATAATACAACACGTTTTCTTTTCGATGACATATCGGCAATATTAAAAGTAAATACTGTATTTAAATCGCGATCAAATTTTCAAGAAACAAACGTTCGTATTGAATTTGGACTACTACTGACCAACGCTAACAGATTACCTGTTGTTTAAAAGGCCCTCTGGTGGCGCAAGAAGATGGATTTTATAAAATAAAAAGCAGTTTAAACTGCATTTTTATGAATAAAAATTGACAAACTATTTATCGTTTTATGACGAGTAAAATTTTTTCGTCGCGTTCACGGCTTTTAAGTAATGCATAAACCTTCGAGGTGCGAGGCCCTTCGGACCGCAAGACATAGGCGGTGGCCCGCATCGTCCATGCCTTACACCGCCCTTAGTCATAGAAATGATGTAATTTGAATATAAATTATTTATAAATACGTATGTCAAGTTATATTTTTATTACTACATAAAATATATTTAAGAGTTTATGACCACTGTGCTGGGTGAGACGTTGTTGAAACAAAAAAGTTATGCATTCCATCACGTACATAAACAGTGTCGTAATTCGCCAAGTGCAAATCAGCAAATTCGTAAAATTTTTATTTTAAAAATCCGGATAATCGAAAATCCGGATAATGGAGGTTCTACTGTATATAGCCAATATAAGTTAGTCCAATAAATATAGTACCAGATGAAATGATGCTTATGCCTATATGTAATCTAGTGTATTTATTTATTGTATGCTTTAATTTAGTTCATTAAATTGTTATTATTTGTTAAGGTGGACTTACTCAAAGCCAAACCACCCTATTGACTTACCCACAGCGCTCCCCACTTGACACTATTCAGCTCTCCTATTTTCCTCTAACCCTTTTTGGCCATCCAGTGACAATTGAGCAGGCTCAACTAGTCTGACATTACCCTTTGGTGATGAGACAAACCCCCTGCAGGGCAGCTTCTCACACTAACTTCAAATCAGAATAACTTAAATGACACTTTTGAGTTTGTTTCTTCAAACAATAACAGTTTAAGTATATTTTAGAGAATAGCTTTTTTAAATCTTTGACCATTTATAACTAATTTATACAACAGTTGTCAAAAATTGAATACACTAAATTATAAATCTGTATATAAATTTAAACAACTGTTTTAATAAAACTGTAGAATGAATCATTGTTTATGAACAAACATGCCATTCATTATTATTGTGTAACTTTTAATTAATTATTACCAACCTAAAACTACAAATCAATAAATACCAATTAAGTATATTTTAAAATCAATATAGAAGACAAAAATTATGACAACAGTCACTGACTAAAAATCAATATCATTGTCTATTATTCAAAATAAATATCAACCAATTTAAACTAAACCTTGCACCAATATGTAACATAGATCACTAATATATTATTTCATCTAATATTCCTGATTCTTGATACTTATTCTGTATGACAGCTTTAAAAATGAAATTTTCTACATAAAAATATTGTAACATGAAAACTATCTTGACAAATCAACAAGGAAAATAGGTTCCTACTATTAATAAATTGTATTGTTTTTACATAAAATTTTTTGTTAAATTTACTACATTACCAACATTTTCATTGAAACAAAGTAGGATTTTTCTTTGATTATTTACACAATACTGTATTAATAATTAATAAATATTATAAATATATGTTAATTTTTTGTTTTTAAGACAAAATCTTACCTTTTGGAGACCATCTAACACATGTGGCAGCACGATTAATGCGTAGAAGTACTAACATTGGCTTCCATTTGCCACTCACCTGAGTCCAAACATAAGCATTTCGATCCTTAAAGGAAAAAAACCACACACTATACTATTTTGTAAAAATTATAATTTTATAACAGTTCCTTATTTTTCAAAAAGAATTATATCAAACTAAAATTCATATAATTCATTAACTTAGGATAATGCTGTGTATGCTTTGAATATTGCCAAAATCACTAATTATTTTTATAATAAAAAAAAAATGAAAAAATATAAACAATAATTTTAGTGATATTTATTAATTAATTATATTTGACATTAAGTTTCTAAAACTGCATAGTTATTGATAATTTCCACATCTGTTTATGAAAAATGACAAGCTGGAGTTTAGAAGACCAAATGGAATATTTCAGATATTAAACATTTTTATAATTAAAATTTCTAACATCAAAAATTTTGTAAATTTTCTAATTAGTTTTCATGTCAGCAATAAATCATATATGAAAACAATAATAAAAAGAAAAACAGCCAATCTAATTTGTTAATGTAATGTAAATACTATTTAAGCAAGACTATGCTTAAGATCATGTACTCTGTATAACAATAAATTTCTAATTAAGAATGATTTTCATTTATGCAAATCAGCATCAAGAAATATGCACATGATATATTTAGAATGATTTTAATAATATACTCATAGAAAAAATACTACTTAGTAATGGAACAATTGGAATTGGTATCAGAATCAAGAAAAATTTATCATAATTTCCAATACTTAAAATGATTTTTTTTAAAATATTTAATAACACAATTTTTTGTTTCAGGTAATAATTAAAATTGTTTAAATTATAATAATTAACAAGTAACTAGTGTTTCCAGGTTTGGCATTTTTTAAGGTTTTTTTGGCACATGGAAAAAATTTTGCAATTATATTTGGCATAAACTAAACTCTCCATTAATATACTGTCAGCAATAACAATAATTAGAATACAGTTCTGCCCAAACTGCTGTCAAAATTTTATTATTGAAATGCATTTTACTATGCTTGGCTTATTTGTTTCTCTGTATATTTTGATGTTGCATCTACATTGAAAATTCAATCCACTGGTTGAATACACTGATGTAATTGCTGTTGAGTTCCAAATAAAGTTAAATTTTTACAATAAACCTGTTTGGTATACTGTTAAGTCTCTGATGTCTAATGGTATAAGGAGTCAATTCTAACCAGTTATATTTTGTTTGGGGATTACTTTTAGTTTGTTTTCTTATTTATTTTGAAACATTTTATTTCATTACAGATAGATTACCACACCTCACCTGGATAAAATTCTAAATTCTAAACTCACTTTACTATGATGATTGCTGGTGGCAATCTACTACATCATCAAAACCAGAAATGATATTTCAGGAGGGACTTCCACAGGAAGTTAAAAGAATGATCTCTCACCCCAAATTGTCACCAAAGAAGAACGAAAAATATAAAAGATTAAATGTAAGGGTGATAACATGACTTAAAGAAAGATTACTAGAATTAAACGAATGTTAGCCATTTGAGTATGTAAATAGGATCGAGTGGAAATAATCACATAATGTCACCACAATGGCACTATAAGGAAGAGGTTAAGCTCGAGATCAAATGAGGCAATCTAGATCTAGAGAGGTTAAAGCATGTTTTCATGTTCCCTTGATGACAAAGAAGTTTCTTGGTGGCAGTTAGGTGAATTTAATTTGAATTTGTGAATTTGTAATAGACTTCAATTTCATATTTTTGTTTATCAGTTTTGTGGAGATAAAAAATTAAATTATAACTATTTTAGAATTAAGTCCCCAAGTGTCAGGAAAGTTGTATATATTTGTTTTTTGAATTTAATAAAGTATCTTTTTATTATGTATTTCAAATTTTTGCTAACTTTATTTCCTTCTTGGGCATATTTGGGTCTAGAATAATAAACAAATTTTTTTAATCATCATGTATAGTAATTATTTTGGGTTCTTTTTGACTTGTTAACAATTTCATTTTTATTTATTGCTCGCATAAAGTCCAGGCATGGCACTTTCGAACAATCATTTATGTAATGCACTCTTAGGAAACTATCTGGCTATCAATAAGAATTTATAAGGCATTACAATGAATAATTCAACTTATAGTATTTCAGAGTAAAAAATGGCAACAGAATAAATTTTGCATTATTTGGCACATTTATGCAAGCTGTTAGATATTTTTGAATGAAAACGACCTGGCAACCTGTAACTAACTACTTGGCTAGTACTATTGTGCTGCTAGCTTAAACTATATTGTCATTGAAAATACATAAAGACGATTCTCATTTCTTTCAACATTACAGGAGAGTGATTTAAAGGTCTTTCTTATTTTCTTCATAAATAAGAAACTATTGTGTATAAAGCATTGCTTTTTTTTTTCAAGTTTTCATTTACAGTACTTGGTAAATACTATAAACACATAAGTTTATCACTGGCTTCATTACCATTATTATTTTGAGATACGCCTTTATGTCTCACTAATGATAAAAAGCTCTCTGCTGATTTAATGAGTTACCTCTTTTAGAATTAAGACATAACTACAATTTAATATTAAAATTTGGCTCTAAGTAACTAAATCAACTGATTGCTATTAAAATAAAATGTTTTGTATGCAAGAGAGATTATTGTACTGAAGAGTTTTTAATGTCATCTAATAAAATAATGCCAAAAAGAATGAAATTTTTGTCTTGAGAATGAAAAATCTCAATACATTATGAAAACATGAAGTCCCATGCTATAAGACGTGAATATCTTTTCATAATCATTAAATTTTGTTACAATATTTTTAACCAGCAGACTTTCCATGGGTATACATAGAATCAGTTTTCTAATTACATTTTCAATAAAAAAAGAAAAAAAAAATATTACAAAACTGGTCCTCACTTCTATTCCTTAAATTCTATACCATCTTAAAACTATCAATCAAAGTTTGAAGAAAAAAGAATTATGTTTATATTCTTTTTTCTTAAGATTCATTATTAATTTATTTTCACATAAACACTGATGCCTTTTTAATCTTAAATTTTCACTTAATCTATCTTAAAATTACATTTTTTTTTGTTTAATTATATACAATACACATAATTCATACATATGAAAGGAATATATTGAATAATTTTAAAACAAAAATTTAGAAATGTATTATGTTAATAAGTCAATGTTATAAAAATTAAAACAGCATATCTGATGATAATATTACAATTTTGAAAATAATACAATTATATCCATTGTATTATGTAAAAAAATAATGTATAATCTAAAAAAAAAATTCTAAATGTAATCATCTACCATCTAAATAAAAATTCTATACCATCTACATAAGATGGTTCATTGTAGAAAAAACAATCATGTTAATCATATATTCAAAGAAAAAAAAACTGCTTTGCATTAATCAAGAAGAAATGAAAAATGCTAAAGATCTTTAGATATTTAAATTTCAAATAACTCTGTACAGTAAAATGTACGAGTTTCTAATCATGTTTCAAAAATTACTTCTCATTGTGTATTATATATTTTTTTATCATTATATTATTATTATTTTTTTTTTTTGATTTGATAAAATGTATTTATATATTTTATCTACATATATTTTGAGTAGTTATAATTATTACTTACTGCAGAACAAGTGACAATTCTATTAGTGTTTGGTGCCCAATCAATACTTGTTACCCGTAAATCATGTTGTGTTAGGACATCAATACATGACCATTTATCACTCTCCTGTTGATAGATATGAACTTCATTGCTATTTGGAGACAGAGCAAGTTCTGTAAAATATAAAAATAATATGAAAAAATATTTTTATAATGTGTTCAAAGAAACTATTTAATTAGCAACTTACGAGTTCTATTCTGATTCCAAGCATGACACGTTATCGGATCTACACCAAAACTATGTATCTCCATTTTTATTTTATAGCCAAAAATATCTTTATGCAACTGGAATTTCTATTCTGAAATAAATTATTATTATTATTATTATTATTAAATGAGATTAGAATTTACCTTCATATTATTTTAACAGATAACAGTATAAGAAATGCATAACATTTACAAAATAAATATTTTATATAAATAGTCTGCTTAAAAATAAAAATCATTTATTTATCTATACCATTTTAAAATATTATATAGATAATCCTAAAATTTTTATTTCTAAATTTTACTTGAATGTTCACCTATGAATTAAAGAATACATGCAAAGATGCCATCCTCAAAATACTATTTTTCAGAATATATAGATATCACGCAACAGCATTTTCAAACATTAAAAAATAAGTCAAATACAAAATACAATTTGTTCAAAGTTTAGACCATCTTTATCTTATCTAAATAGTAGTGATAAGCAAAGAACCAAATTTCATTATTTGCATCTCTATTTTTTTCTTTATCATTAGTACAACAGTATATAATAATAATAATAAATTTAATAAATTTCGTTATTATTCAGAGAGCAAAACATTGTAAATGGCTATTTACCATCAACACTGGATTCACAGAATATATAAATTTTTATTCAAAAATCATCTTTGAACTAAGATTATTGTATAAAAGTAATCAAAAATTATATATGCTAAATAATAATTTTTTTATTATTTATCAGGTTGTAACAAGACTAATTTAATGATTAGGAAAAAATGTTAAACTATTTAATTAACTATTAATACTTCTGGAAGAGAAGATTGGATGGGGTCCAGGTAGCATAACTGACAACACATCTGCACAGTGAATAGGAATTATGCGTTCAACTTCCAGTCAGAGCCAATATTTTCTTAAGATTATTCTAATTTAAATTGAAAAATTAAATATATTTCTAATTATAATTAAATGGTGTTCTAACCATCTAACTATAGCCAAATTACTTTATTTCTAGTTGTTAAGATTAGCCTTGTTACAGCCTGATAAATAATCTGGCAGTTTATTTTCATATCTAACAGAATCAGACTGATGATGTTATATATAACGAAAAACAAATATAGTTAATATTTAAATATATACATAAAGTTTAAAATTTTCGTTTTAAATTGATTTTTTATTTCTTAGATACCAATTAAGAAATTAGCAACAAATTTAGCAATATTATTACAGTAATCCTTCTATTTATACAAGTAATTAGTGCATTGAAAACTGCATAAATGAAACTGTTTAAAACAGGGATTCATTCCATATTCTCAAATATAGTACTTTACTCTTATAAAATAGAAAAATTTTAACTAGTCTTTTTTTTTTTTTTTTAATATGCGCCTCTATAAAAAGTTACCGATAACAAAATACACATTTTTTTAATGTAACTATCATTTATTTCCATAAAGTTGATTATTTAAAATTAAAAAATTTTTCAACTGTGTTAAAGTAAATTAACATAAATGAAGGGATTACTGTAGTTCAATGATTTAGGCATGGAATAAATCAAATTTTATCAATTACAACTAAACTAAATAGAATTAAACTACATTTTGATTTGAGATAATCTTTATAAAATTTATACACTTCAAGACATTTTTAAAGAGTTTAATTAGCAAGAGCTGATGATGATAAAGTAACTCTTGAAAAAAAAAAAATGATATTTGAAAGAAGAATATTTTAAAATAGTGGTTTACAGAATACAACACTATGTTCAAAAGGCAAATGATTACCTTAATTAATCAGGTTATTAATATGCTATAATTAATAATTAGAAACTAAGTAATTTAATACTAGAGGTAGATTAAGGTGCCATCTCTTATTTAAATTAATAATTTAGAGCCATCTGGAAGAAAAGAACTAGCCCAGAGCAGGATTTGAACTTGTAACCTCTGCTTAGAACTAGCATAAAGTGAGGCTAGTTCTTTTCTTTCAGATAGTTCTAAATTATTTAATAAATTATTAAATTATTATAATTATTAATTTAGATAAGAGAGTGCCTAACATCTACCTCTAATACCAAATTACTTAGTTTCTAATTATTAATTATAGCATATTAATAGCCTGATTAATTATAGTAATTATTTAGCTTAGTATCAATACATCAGGTTTTGGAAAGTTGATATTTACTATGTTCACATATAGAGAAAATGCTAAACAAAAGTTCTTCACAATTCTTAGAATCCTTCTAATTGGATTTGAACTTTAATATTTAATAATTATAAAAAAAATAAAAAGTGCAAATAATGGAATTCCTAATTGTAATATTTTGTGTTTTATTAAAATGTTGCAAATAATTATCAGAACTGGAAAAAAAAAAGTTAATAATAAAAATTCATAATTCAAGAAATAAATATTGAGTAAAATGAAATAATTTATATTAAAAATAAAAATGAAAGTTTAGTGAAATAAAAAAATTTATACTAATTAAGTAAGTCTGAAAAATTTTAATATGTATAGTATGTTGCAATATCCATATCATTTACATCTAAAAAGTAAAAAGATAGGATGTTTCCTTTTAAATGGCATTGATAATTCATTATTAGATGAATTAGAGGCTTGGAAGAAGGGGAAAAACTTAGTACAGTAGAACCTCGATTATCCGGACTAATTGGGGATGAAGGTAGTCCGGATAAGGAAAAATCCGGATAATCGAAACAAATACTTTAATTTGTCTTTTAATGATAATACACGTTTTCTTTTCGATGACATATCGGTAATATTAAAAATAAATACTGTATTTAAATCGTGATCATCAAAT